GTTCTGATATTCATTTTTTTTAATTAAATCTTTTGTAAATTTCAATTAATTTGAAAAACGTTTTTACTTTAATTTTCCTCAAATTTGTTGCTAATTGTTACTTTTGGCAAGCTCCAAAAACTCTATAAATAGGGGCTTTACCAAGGTTATTGGTTGGTGAATTTTAGCCTAAGTTTATATACTTTTTCTTTTATTTTTGTCTTGTTTTTGTTCTCATATTTTTTCTTTAGAATTTTGTGATAATTATGTGCAAGCTAGGCTAAAATTCTTTGGTGAGGTTAGAGATTATCTTATATGTATAGTGAGCTTATTTGGGTTTTGATTCTCTAATAGTTTGTAAGTTTTATATATTTGAGTAAATAATTTTCTTTTATCATATTTCTTCCTCATATCATTATATTTTATTGTCAACTTTTATATAAATCTAGTCAATCTCTTTTTATTTGATTATTACATGATACAATATATTGGTAGACATTATTTTATGAGTAGTGATTGTTGCATGATACAATATATTGGTAGACATTATTTTATGAGTAGTATTTTACTGTAATATTACCCCGAGGTATGTTGTCGCTTTTAGATTTTTTATAAGACAATTTTTCCTAGTTCTAAACGTAAGAATTTTATTTACTCGAATACATTTTTATTCACAAGTCCTTTAAATCTTATTTTTCGATTGATTGTTTGGGATGTGAAACTTTCAATTGAGTCAATTTATGAATCAAAATCTAAATAGGTGAACAAAGCATATAGAGGATTCTTAATGCCTTACCGCTTTTAATTATTGAATTTTTTCAATTTTAAATTGCATAGTCTTAAAATTAAATTGTTCTAAAATCACAAAAACACTCATTTCTTTTCTTTGTTCGATTGCTTACTTCTCTAACACTTTTGTTCCACTAATCTCTTTTGTTTATTTTTATCGCCTTCTCGTGAAATTGACCGTCCTAATTGTGCTACAATTGACCGCTTATTTTTTTACACGTTTAAGCGTCAACTGTTTATTAGTAGTTAAAACTGACATTATATTTGCGATAATGAAACAATAGAAAAGAAAAAAGTTAGAGAAATTTTAAAGTATAAAATAAAAAATATAATGACGTTTGATATAGAGAAAATTAAGAGAGAAATACTGAAAAATTCATTTAACCATTTCTTAATTATTAAAAATTTGTTTAACCTTTTTTAATATTAAGAAATGGTCTCCATGTAAGAAGAAAAAACACATTTAAATATGGATGTATTTGAAAAAATTATAATATTGTAGTGATTAGTAAAAAAATATATATGAAGCTCACTTTAATAAAATAATATTTTAAGTGATTAGAAAAATAATTTAATTAGAGATATACTTGAAACAAATTATTTCAATAAGGATAAATTAGAATAAAAATATTTCATAACACGTTTAGAAGATGCATTTTAAGAGGGAAAAAAAAAAAGAAAGAGAAACTAAGAAAAGTTTTTTATAAAAAAAAAAAAAAGGAAGATAATAAGACAAAATAAGAATAAGACAAAATAAGTGATCAATTTTTTTCAGAGTAAAAAAGTGACTAAAATTTTGAATATTGTAAAAAAAAACTCTTATTTATAATATAATGATAGAGAATGAGATATTTTACGGTGGAGCAAATTATTTTATTTTATTAATAGGGATAATTGTTTTTAATCATTGAATAATATATGTCATTTTTTTATAATATGACTCTCAATTCAAATATGTTATTTCCCTGAAAATATTCTAACTTACGTTACATAACAGAATAAATAACAAGATTTCAATGAGGGATGTTCATGGATTGGAATTTGCGGATTAGAGGTTAATCAGTTTCTGATCCAAAATTTTATTTTCTCAATCCATGTCTAATCTAAAATCTTTTAGAATTTTGCAGATTGAATTCACAGATTTTGCGGATTAGATTCACAAATTTCATGGATTACGACATTTATAATCATTTTTTGTCACAACTCAAAGTTTGTAACATCTATAACTCAAATAAACATAGCATAAATATGACATAAAGTTCTTCAATCCAGTCTAAATTGTTACAATCAAATTAACGATGACCAACTAACCAAGTCAAAGTTTTTAATTTTTTGAAAAAATAAAAAACTAAACTGAAAAATATTAGATACACATATACATTAAATTATATATATGGTTTCAGATTCGCGGATTGAAAAGTGTTCAATCCACAATCCGATTCAAAACCTTCAGATTGAGAAAATCTCAATCCATGTCCAGCTCAAAACTTTTTTCAATCTAATTCAGAACTTTAAATTGGATTAAATTTCACAGATCATTCAGATAAATTCCGGTGAACACTCCTTACTTCAATAAACAACTAGACTTCCTAGTACAACGAATAACTAAATTTAGCTTTAAAAACATATTTTTTCTCCCTAAAAAATCCTTTTTTCTGAATATTTATTTTCTTGAATGGTGATGAGCGAAAAATAGTATTAAAAAGAAAGTGATTATCAAGCAAGATTCCATGCGCTCTTATTGAAAGGTTAATTTACACGTGTAAGGAATTTATTATATTTTCGTATAATTAAATGACCCACAGAAAAATTGTTGTAAACCCAAAGGCGCACAACATCTAAACCTGAATGGGTGACGCTAATTGATATTCATGGTTCCCTAAAAAAATAAAATAAAATAAAAATCTCTGATGGTATAAAAAAAATAAATTATCGGTAGTTTTTTATTTTTTAAGCGCTAAATTTATATTAAAAATTATCTATTTTATACACTTTTTTAATATATTTTAATTTTAATCAACTATAACGGTCAAACTGACACTACTAATAAAGAAACTTATTAGAAAAAGTTCTTAAAAAAAGTTTCATAATTATTTTTTTTAAGAAAATGATTACTTTTTTAATATTAATTTTTCTTTTAATATTGAATTCTTATCCCAAACTTTATCACCTTAGGTGCAACTATGTCCAACCGTTAAATGGAATGAAATTATAGTCTATTCCATTAACATAAAAGGAAAACAAAACAGCACCAATTAGAGAACAATTCATGCATTAAGAGCCATGCCATATCATATTGATTGAAGTCAATTCCATCTTTAGCACTCGAAATAGAAGATGCATTATATTGGTTCCAATTTATGGAACCCTACAGTGGCCTGCAAATTGATTTTTTTCCCCCATAAAGAATGGATTCTTTTACAGCAAGTAGCAAAAGAACAATTTTAATCAGTAATAAGACAGTTTTATTTCACTCTTTTGCTTTTTGGGACAGCTATTCGTAACAGGGTAATTATATATGAAGACTTCAGATATGTTTGCTAGGGGAGAGAGATGGAGGGAGGGAGAGAGTGAATTTCTTCTTTAGTTAGAAAGAGAAGATGAGAGAGAGGAGATATAGATGGGGAGAGTCTCCCTCCGAGCCTACCATTTTCAATCATTTTAAGTTCTATCAATGCAAGAATCCAACCAATCCATTCAAATTTAAATGAAAACTTTCAAAATAAATTATTAACAAATAGTAAAATGGGCGATATAGTAATTAAAAAAATAATCACCTTTTATCCTTGTTGAGATTTTTGGATTGACATTATTTTACAAATTGAAAGATTTGATTTTGGGTTTGATATGGAGATTGATTTACAACATTGAATTGATTTGGAGATTGATTTGCTGCATGAATACTTTTTGGAAAGTTTCGGATTTGATAGTTTTTTATTTTTGACATTATTTTGGACATAATTTGATGATGATCTAATCGAAATTGAATGGCAGCAGGGAATGTTTTTTTACAAAGTTTCTAGTTATTAGGAAACTATTTCAAGACAATTAATTCGGATTGATTTGGTTAAAGTCAAATTTTAGTTATTTTGGTAAGTTGAAATTTGATGAGATGTTTGATTTGAAAAGAGAGATTTTGCTCTGCTGTATAAAACATCTAGGTTCATAGAGTATCCAACTAGAATCGTGCTACATTAAAATGGAGAGATATCATGAATCAGGGAAAGGTGACTTCGAACTAGATTATACAACTCTGTTGCAGTAATTGTTGCAACATAATCTGTAAAAGAATGTGTACAGTGGATTACTTTGAAGAATTTGATAACTGTTTTATTTTGACTATTTAATTAACGCTTTACAAGAGTTTTCGTAGGCCATTTGGAGCCTCAGTTTTCCATTGACAGAATTTTATTGTGAGCACTTGTAATTTTCTTATCACTTCAGGAGAAGGGATTTTTTGTTTTTTCGGGAGAAAAGCTCTGTTGAATTATTAATTTTCGAAAGAAGAAGTTGAAACTTTCGGGAAAGAGCGACCTGCCAGACGAAGAGATTTTGCCATCCAGTTTTAAAAATTGAGTGGTAGTCGCTGAGTAAGTCTGTTAAGAAGTTACAGTTCATAAGCGTCTTATCACGAGAAATAGTCTTAGGTAGTTTAAGTTCAACTAAGTTGTAATCTTGAGTTCTTAATAGATTGTTTATCATTTGGGAGTGACTCAACAAATATAGATAGTTACCGAACCGTGATACCAACTTCCTATATTTTCCTTACTATTTCAAGTTTTTTCTTTTATTTGTTGCAACAAATTTTATAATGAGCTTGGTAAAAAGACTCAAACATGTACATTCAATCATTTAAACACTCATCTCTCCTACCAAACAACATAAAAAATTATTATAATTCTCTTTATTGTTCATATTTCATCCATCTAAACTCTCTCCATCCTTCTTATTATATATCCCACCTACAAATGGACTCTTGTTTCTACATAACGCGGATGACAAATAGCAATTTGTCTTCATAAAATTTTTGTTTTTATTTGCAGCAACTTTATTTATTTATTATAATGGACCAAATTTGCAGCAACGTCTTTATTAATGTATTAGAAAATTACAAATCTCACTTCTTGGCTCCTTCCTCTTTTAAAGCCCAATAAATTAATAATCATCAAATACTTTAATCTTCAACTCAGATCTTAGTCCATAATGAATCCACGAAAGAAAAAAAATGTAGGTACTGAAATTTTAATATGTAAGTCTATATTATCATCTGATTTTTCAAACAATTAATTTGAGATTAGAAATCTCATAGACATAATTTCGAAATCAAACACCTTTTTACAAACACCTTCTACACAACAAATGAAATTAACAACATAATTAACAACTGACCCAAAAAAAAAAATTCCCGTTCTGCAATTAAAAACTGATCAGATCACAGCAGTACTTCTTTTAAAAACGGCGTAACTTGTGCTTCTCGGGTACAAGAAATCGGCCTTCTTATCGTCGCTAAACTCATAAGGCTTGTCTTCGTCGATTTTCCCCATCCCAACGCTGCTACACTTGGGCAAGCCTTCCGCTCCTGTTGTTGTCGTTTCCTCAAGCACTTGCCTCAGCTGTTGCTGCAGAAGCATGTCAAGGTCAAACTTTCCGCCATAGTCCCTAGCGGAGGCCGCTCTCACGAGCTCCGCGTAGTCGTCGCTGTCGTTTTTCCTAGCCGTCGCGACGCTGAAACTCTTCGGCAGACCGGAGGATAATCGACCAGCCGAGCCTTTCACGGTGTTTGTGCGGCTCATAACCTCCATGTTATTCATGCCTCGAACGTACATGTCCCTCGCTTTAATTAAACCTCTGAGGGGTATCGTGATGATTCTGAGGAACCTGTTTTGGCTTTTAGCTTTGGTCTTCATCGTTTTTTGAGCTCTTTGTGTTTGGTGAATGAATTGAACAATGATTTTTGGAGATAAAAAGAAGAAAGTGATTTGAGGTCTAAAATGGGCTTTTGATGATAAGATAATTTGTTGTTTGGTGAATGAATTGAACAATGATTTTTGGAGATAAAAAGAAAGTGATTTGAGGTCTAAAATGGGCTTTTGATGATAAGATAATTTGGAGGCTTTTAAAGAAGTGGTATGGAAGAGCAGGACGTGGTTTTGGGACTTTTTCAAAGCACGCCGGATTAGAAAAACGAAAAAACCAGAGATAAGACCGAAGGCTGATTGGATTAACTTAAAATTAATAGTGGTGATCATAATTGAATAAGCAAAAACAATAAAGTATGTCATAATGGAAAATTGGGAAAGAAGGATAATGTTGACTTCAGGGGCTTTTGAACATTTGACTTTAGATTTGTGTTATTGTTCCCACTATTCAGGTCTGCTGAGTGCTGAGTCATCACCTTGTTGCCTGTTCAACTCCACGTGCCAATTCCCTTCCTCTCGCTTACGCTTCCTCGTCATCATATAATAGATAGATATGGGAGGGACAGCAATCAAACTTTACACAAACTCAAAAATGTAATCATTCTTTTTTCCAAATGGGAATCCCAATTTAGCATGATCTGATTTGGAGAGGCTCTGTATATCTATTGGCAGACAAGGATTCCTCCGCTATAGTGGAGTAGTATTGTGGTTTAGACAAGTTTTACTTGGACGCGAAAAATGAAATAAATACTCTTGAGAATATATAGATTTTAAATTTTCACCTTTTATTTTTTATTAATATCTTTTAATCAAAGAATTATATTACTTAAAAAGGCATTAATCAAATATTAAATCTTAAAATAATACATTTAAAAGGTGAATTCACCAATTTTCTCATACTTCAACTATTCTAAAAGGGATTTTTAATTTTATTTATGGGCTTAATAATCTTCTTTCTTTCAATATGCCTCCAATGAGAAACATTATGATCAATATGCCTTAATGAGAAATATAGAGCCCATTTGATAACGTTTCAAAATATTTTTATTTTCAGTATAAATGTGAAAATGAGATTGTTTTGAGAATCACTTTATGACCGATTCTAAAATTACGTTTTTGTTGTTTTTTAAGAGATTGATTTTTTTTAAGGGAAGTGAGATTGTTTTGAGTATAATAAAAAAGTGAAATTGTGTTTGGTTATATTATGAAATTTTTTTTTTAGTATATGTAATTAATAATATTAAATTAATATATTAGGTAACTACTAATTAATAATCACTTAACAAATAAAAATTAATATATTGGTAATATGATATAATGGATGTCATGTTATTTTTAATGAGTACATTAGTAATTTAATTATATATATAATTTATATGCTAAATAATTAAGAAATAGTAATTAATAACCAATATATATGTAATAACTATGTTAGTAATGTACTCATAATTATTAGTTTATAGGTAATTAACTAGTGTATTAATAAAAAATAATTTAGTATATTAATAATTTATTAGTATTCTATTTGCTAATTAAATAATTAATTTAGTTACATAATTAAATAGTTAATTAATTCCTCATGTTTATCTAATAACCTATGATTTGATATATTACATGATCAACTTTTGGTAATTATTTTTAAATCATAATTAAATTACTAATTATAATTTAATATTGATTATTAATTGAGTAATTGCTATTTATTTATTATTATGAACTATTTATTAATTAATAAAATTATAATTAATATGTTTTCTAATCAATTTTTAGCAATTAATCTTTTGCTAAATAATTAAACACTATTTATTATTTTTTAATTAATAATTTAAAAAGTTAATAATAAAAAATTGATATTTAGTTAATAATTAAGTAATTACTATGTATTATTACTTATTAATTAATACAATTTGTAATTGGTAATTAATAATTAGTTATTTAAATTTTTTTTTTTGAAAGAAAACATGTAATTTCGATCCCACTGTCTATTGACAATTAAATCTTCAACCATTAAATCATATTCATCCCTTCAAGAGGGGTTGTAATCGGCTTAAAAGAATGAGGTACCTTGATAGTCCTTCCCGACCCCACACGCCTCCACAACCCTTTAACCAATAACTCTCGTCCCAATAGGAGGCTCCTCCCCGCCGCTACTTCAAGGATAGATCCATGAGGGAAATATTTGGCTTTAAGAATACAGGCTACTAGAGAATCAGGGGTTTGAATTAATCTCCAACACTCTGCTTGGGCAATAAAGCTTGATTGAATGCTGACACATCCCAAAAGCCAATCCCACCTTCTCGCTTTGGTTTAATACAACGTTGTTGATAAATATTAAAAAATAAAAATGAAAAAAAGAAAATAATTTTAAATTATTTTTTAATTTCTTCATAAAAATTATTCTCATTTTTTTTATTTTCATTTTTGTTTTTAATACATTTACTAAACAAATATAATTTATAAACCCTTTTTATTTTAAAAAAAAAATAATAATTTTGAATCATTTTTTAATTTCTTCACAAAAATTATTCTCATTTTTTTTTATTTTCGTTTTTATTTTTAATACATTTACTAAACAAATATAATTTATAAACCCTTTTTATTTTCGTCGCTCAAAAAAACGTGCATAATCGTTTTCAAAAATAACTAAAAACTACTTTCAAAGTCTCTTTTCTTACTCTTTCAGCGAGCTAGTTTAAAAACACTGTGGTCCTGGTCACTGGATTTAGCAGTGAATCAGAATGGCGGCCGAGAGTATAAAATGTCGGCGAAAATAGAGTGGTTGTTATTGATTAAGATAAAAACAAATCAATAGTCGCGAGTAATATGGTTCATTATGAACAAGGCCCCAACTCTTAAATATCAAAGAAACGTGCCTTGGACTTTAGGAAGAGAAACTCAGTGACGAAATCAAGATATATACATTATACAAGTAGAAAGTAGAAGGTGAGAGGAAAGTGACGCTGCAAATAGAAGTATCGACAAATTGTCGAAGGCTTTTAATTACTGTGGGCTCGCTTCTCATGTGATAAACATTAAACAATGCTTGCATGTTGTTAAGTCTTCTTCTTGTTTATTTCATTATTTATTGTTTGGTCCCTTTAGGAAAAGCATTAAATCTATGGTCGAACTTTTTTTTCCCCCCCTTTTAATGATCCAAAAACGCGTGGATATCTTTTATCATTTTACAAAGAACGCCTTCATTGAATTGGTGCTAATAATAAATATAAAGTGGTGGGTCGAAACGTGTCCCTTATTTTTATATTCATATATATTGTTTATTATTATTTTTTGCTAACTGATATTTATATATATTTTTTGATTGCCTTTGATTACGATGGATTCACGTTGAATAATTTAAGCAAACCAAAAATTCTTTTTTTTGTTTTTTTGAGGGAAGCAAACCAAAAATTCTGTTGATATATTCTAAGACAAGTAATATTAAACAAAGCTAGTCACATTTTTCTTGTGATAAACTAGTACCAATCATATGCCAGTTCCTCCTAGTGCACAACTAACACCTCCACTTTACCAAATTAGTAACCTATTTGCCTAAAATCTGTAACCTCCAACAGTATATAAATTTGAATACTTAAAAAAATATTGCCGAGAACATGTAAACATCACAAATATATTAATTATGATCCAAGACCCAAGGGCTGCTCCTTTTAAAATTTAGCCCCAGCATAAATTCCTTTTTTACGTGCCTCCTTGAAAAATTGTCATAATGATTGTACGCAGCACAAATTTTCCAAATTTTCAATTATAAGTTTTGAGGTTTAAGGAGTTTTTGGACTCCAGATTTTAGACATTGAATTTAACTTTATCAACCTTAGTTCATTTAAAATAATAAATTAAGAAGATACAAATCAAAAAGGGAAAGTAAAAATTTTTTGAATTGAAATTTTAGTTCAAAAAATCGAAAAGTATAGTAAATAACATTTTTATATAAAACTACTTCAAAGGAAGGAAGGATGCAGTAAATAGTATATTTATAAAACGAAATTAAGTAAATAACACATTTTAAAATTATTTAAAATAAATAATAATTTAATTTCATTATTAGCAAAAAGAATTATTTTCTAGGTAATTTTTTTTTACGACTGATAAAAAGATATTTTTTTATATAAATAAAAGTTTTTGACCATATAAATTATTTTTTACTAATAATAAAATAAATATTTATATATTAAATTATTATTTACTTTGAATAGTTTTAAAATATGTTATTGAGTTAATTTAGTTTTTAAATCTGCTAATTATTATAATTTCTTAGGAAATAGTAGGAAATATACCAATATGAAAAGTTTAAGAAAGTATATAGGTCAATTTTTAGTTATAGAAATTAATAGGTCATAACTTGTCAAGTTATGGTTCATAACCAGACAAGTTATGGACAAAAATAATAATTTAACCTGTTTATTAACTTATGTAAATTATTTACCTATTAATTTTAATTCATCTCAAATTTAGACATATTTTTCTCTTTCTCTCTAATTTCTTTCTGGGCATTCATGCGCCGACTCGACCCATGATTGAGTACATGGGCTTGCAAGTCCATTTGGGCCACGCAACTTCTTTCGGCCCGTGGTCATTTCCCAAGAGAAAGGAGATTGATGGATAGAGAGGCCACCTGCTTCGTCTACAGACAATCATGCATTCTCCTCCACAAGTTGCAAAAGTGACGACGCCTCCAAAAACAAAACACACACGTCATCCCACAATTAGAAATAGCTTACTCACAAACACTTCTTCATAAGCAGATAACACCTAGATCGAACAAACTAGAAAGTAGTACCTTATAACATTGTTAATTAATGAAGGAATCAGCCGGAACAGTACTGAATCAGGCGGCAGCAGCAGTAGTAGTACTGGTTCCAACGGTCATGATGCTGTACACATGTCAAGCGATCAGTGGCAGCAACCTCGTCCAGTACCCCCTGATCCTGGTCCCCGGCAGCGGCGGTAACCAGATAGAAGCCAGGCTAACCAGTGGCTATACACCGTCGAGCCTGTGGTGCAACCGGTGGTATCCGGTTTCCAAAAGCAAGGACGGGTGGTTCAGATTATGGTTCGACCCCAGCGTGCTGTTTGCTCCTTTCACCGAGTGCTTCGCCGAACGCATGACTCTTTACTATGACCCGGACACCGATGATTACCATAATGCCCCTGGGATCCAAACCAGGGTCCCTCATTTTGGCTCCACCCAGTCGCTGCTCTACCTAGATCCTCATCTCAAGTAAGGCCATCCTTTGATAATATAAGTATTTCTGTATCATGGTAATTGATAATATTATTTTACGGTAGTTAATTCCTTGAGACATGATGGCGTTTTGACATGTTTAGAACTTAATAAGTCCAGGGTAGGGTAGTTGTACGCTCCCTTTATTTTACCGATTCGAGTTTAAAATTCGAGTTTTATTACAGTAAAAAATTTTCAGTCATATTTAATTTTTTTTACTATAATAAATGACTCATATAAAATCACATGTCAACTCGTTTTACTGATTTATCAATTTTTGTTTGACATGCCTAATTGTCAATTTTTGTTTCCCTGTGTCTGAAATGTTGTTCTACTGATTTGTAGTTGCCTAGTTGCTGATTTTGGCAAAATAAACATTTAAGGCATATATGAGTGGTGTTAAACATCATCCACTAATAAAAAATAAATTCCGTAACGTGGAACTCAAAAGTGAAGCTTACTTTTTACTAATGATAGTACTTAGCACTAGTGGTGCCTCAGGTATTTTTCAACTGAAAATGTGTTAAGTATACATGATCTACGCTGTTAATTAAGAAACAGCAAGCCCAATGTACGGAAGGGTACAAATGAATTTCTACTATACACAATAAGTAATATTTGTATAGTACTTGATCTAATACAGCATCCTCGTACATCTTTCTTTTTCCATAAACATGTGATCTAATTGAATTCTTTTCTTTTTAATAAAAGAAAATTTTGTGATCTAACTATCATTCAAATATATAAATAATTTCGTCAATCAACAATGAGCGTCGACCTTATTTTCTTGTGAAGATGTTTAAATAAAAACGGAGTTATCTTTCTCCTCGTTTAATATGATATTGTATTATTTTTTATGATTTTATAATTTATTGTGATTTGATTAAACTCTTGTTTCCTACAGAAAGGTTTGGTCTTGTTCCGGATCAAATTGTAATCACAACGCTTAAAGTTCAAGGACTAAAAAGTGCTAATAAACTTTTTTAAAACATATTTTTCATGTTTACCTAGTTGATAGTTCTTAGTACTTAATGTTATTATTATCTTTTCTTATAAGCTTAATATGTTTACCTAGTTGATAGTTCTTAGTACTTAATGTTATTATTATATTTTCTTATAAGCTTAATTTTTTTTTTGGGAGAAAGAGAAAAATAGATCAAGACTTGAGATGAATTAAAATTAATAGGCCAATAGTTTACATAAGTTAATAAATAGGTCAAATTACTGTTTTCGTCCATAACTTGTCTGGTTATGAACTATAACTTGACAAGTTATTGTCCATAAATCACAGTTTTTGTCCATAACTTGTCTGGCTATGAACCATAACTTAACAAGTTTGTCCATAACTTATCTGGTTATGAATCATAACTTGACAAGTTATGACCTATTAATTTTTATAACTAAAAATTAACTTATATACTTCCTTGAACTTTTTATGTTGGCCTATTTTCTACCGTTTCTCTTTTTTTTCCTACATTTGTAGACAAATAACAGAGTACATGAGACCCCTAGCGGAGTTACTTGAGCAAATAGGCTACGAGAATGGAAAGACACTCTTTGGAGCCCCATACGACTTTCGATATGGTTTAGCCCCAGACGGCCATCCATGCCATGTTGGTTCCAAGTTTCTACAAGAATTAAAAGAATTAATAGAGAAGGCAAGCTCATCCAATGGAGGGAAGCCGGTAATACTAGTGTCGCACAGCTTAGGAGGGCTATTTGTACTCCAACTTCTCAACAGAAACACCCTCTCTTGGCGCCAAAAATTTGTCAAACACTTGGTCGCGCTCTCAGCCCCGTGGGGCGGCACGGTCGACGAGATGCTCACGTTTGCTTCGGGGAATACACTGGGAGTTCCTCTTGTTGATCCATTGCTAGTGAGGCAAGAGCAAAGGAGTTCGGAGAGCAACTTATGGCTGATGCCTAATCCCAACTTTTTTGGTCGTGAAAAGGCGTTGGTGATCACTCCTAGTGCCACATATTCCGCACACGACATTCCCAAGTTTCTAAACGACATTGGATTTAGTGAGGGGGTTTATCCTTATAAAACGCGCGTTTTGCCTCTGATGGACCAGCTATCGCCACCGGGGGTTCCCCTTACTTGTGTTATTGGAAGTGGGGTTAAGACACCGGAGACTTTGTTCTATGGGCAAAGTGGTAATTTCGATGAGCAACCGGAGATTGTTTATGGAGATGGAGATGGGACGGTCAATATGGTGAGCTTGTTGGCTCTTGAATCCCTGTGGGGTCATGATCATGATGATCATGTGATGAAGAATCAAACGCTTAAGATGATCAAAGTTCATGGAGTTTCTCACACGTCTATACTGAAAGATGAAGATGCACTTGCTGAAATAGTGGGAGAGATCCGAGATATCAATAACCAGCTGATCCAGGGTCATAATTATACAATGAATGGTATCAGTCAGTGAAAACTGACGAAACTTGATTGTTTGTTTTGATCTACACCTTATAATTGCTTTTTTTTATTCTTTAGAGCAATTATCTACATGTGATTTTATATACTTGATTATAACCACTCACCAAGCTATTAATTCGTACAGGTAATATAAATAATGGGTTTAAACTTTGAAAGCAATTCAATGATTCATGAGCCTGCATTTCTTCGAAATTCTGTTTCAATCTCAGTATCTCACCAATGAGGAGCAAAAGTCATATTTGTCCTTTTCTTCTTTTTTCCTTTTTTTTTTTTTTTAGAAAACTTGTCGTGGTTGTTGGGTAGATTTATGTTGATTTCCTTTATTTTTTTCTTTTCTTTTTAAAGGATCATAGTCGTTTCTTTGAGAGTATTTCCTTAATTTCGTTTCATGTGGATTTCATCAAAGTTTTTTGTCTTTGCTTATTATCCTTTTCTTCGTTTTGATTATTTCATTTATATATTTGTGCTTTCCCCTTTACTCCCGCGTGTTTTTTTTTCCCCTTAATTCATGTCGTCTTTATATTAGCAAAAAAGAATAAAAAATCATGTCGTTTCAGTCCACCGTGATTTATTTTCGACGTCTTTTTCTTTGATCCTTTGTATTTTATTCAAGTTATTGTCGTTTTATATGCCATATGTTGCTTTTGACCTTATGTCATATTTTCTTTTCCCAAGTTTTCTATTCTTGACTTCGTTTTATTTAATACTATTATCGTTTTGTATAATGTGATTTTGTCGTTTTTCCTGTTTAGTGTCATTATTTATGAATGTTTGTTGTTTTATCTTTTATTTTCAATTGATACAGTTTTTGTAAGGGAAATTGTCTAGGATGGCTTTTTTTAACCACATTTTTTCATAAATAGCTAAACTTTTTTTATTTTATAAAAATAGTCGTTTTGTTTACATAAGTTAACTAATGATTGACCTATAAACTATGGTCAATCAGCGATGGACTAATTCACTGTTTATTTATAAATGGTTTTATCATTAATAAACACGTATTTTGTTAATTGAAATTGATTAATTACTAATTAATTTTGATTAATTATTAACTAATATTAATTAATAATAAATACTTAACCAATAATAAATTAAAATTAATCAATAATTGACCACTAAATTAATAAAAACGACCATTTTTATAACTTTATAAAACTTCGGCCATTTTTAAAAAACATCCTTAAAAAAGGTCATTTGGGCTAAAATCCCTTTTTGTAGTTTATAACTATTGTCCTTTTCTGTGGTCATTGTTTCTTGTCTTTACTGTCGTTTCATATTTTTGCATTTTATATTGATTACTGCTCTTTGTGTTGGTCTCCTTTTATTGCTACAGCTAGGGGTGTTCAAAATAATCTATCTAATTGATTCAACCGAAAAATTAACCGAAACCGCCCCTATGTCAACCGGACCGAATAAAACCGCTCACATATATGAATCAAACCGAACCACGTATCTTTATTTTTTTTTAAAATAAAGTGATTTTGCGTTTGTGAGGATTTAAACCCTGGTTGCAGGGGAAGGTAAGCGCAAGTTAGATTTGTTGGTCCATTTTCTTATCTCAATGGTTGTCATTCTAATTAAATTTTGATGTCTCGTGAATTGTTTAAGTATGTTTAGTGTTTTATTTTTATTTATATTGTTAAATTCTTAAATTTATATAACATAATAAATAATTAGTGGAGGAACCGTACAAAATGGGTTGTTTAGTTGGGAGATTCGTACCCCGATTCAAATTATGGTTCATGGTTCACTACAGTATTTTCTCTCATAAAAAATACACATAAATTAAAAATTATTCTAATCTTATGATTCTAATCCATGAACTAAACGTCTCGCGCACCTGATTATTGGATCACTAACCATATTGTTGTGCTATTTTATGCACACTAAAATATTTAAACAATTCTACGCGTTTTGAAACTTTACAACAATGTCAAATGTTAAGAGTCCCACATAGGTGAGGTACTAATCTTTCACCCCATTCACCCTCTATAAAAAAAAAAAAAAAAAAAAGTCTTCAACATAGGCATTACCTATACTATTCACCGTCAATTCTTAATGGGTTTCTTGTTTCGGGCTTATATTATTTTTAAAATTTAATAAACTACTAACATTGTCGTCTTTTTGCAGTTGTTATCGTCTAAATATGATTGTGTTGCTTACAAGCTTATTGTTAGTTTACATGTTTCATTATTTCGGTATCATTTTTTCTCATACTATTGCCTTTTTTTTTTTGGTTCTTAACTTCTCTTTTATATTTATTGTCTTTTTTATTGATGTTTATATGCTTTTTATTTCTATCGTGGTTTTCAACTTTATTGTCATCTCAATGCCACTGTTGTTTACAAGGTTGCGTGGTGACCGGTGATCTTGTTAAGTTTTAATAGTTTTGTTACGTCAAATATCAAAATACTTTTAGTAATTTGTGCGTCACAAATATTAAATTCTAAAATTTCTTTAAATTACTCATAAATAAACTTTAAATTACTCATAAATAAGATAGCGGTAGCAAAACTTCTCTCTCTTAAATATCTACTATGTGAGATGTTGGATACATTGTCAGTGTAACAAACAATCTAATTCTATGTTATGGATTCAACTACCTTCTAATGTTTTGTGTCCCACACTTCTAGCTAATAACATTATATTATATCTTTTAAATAGACTTCAACATTGAAACATAAACAAATTAGTTAAAATACATTTTAAAATTTTTAAATGATATGTGATAGTTCAATTATTTGCGTTACCAACCTTAGCTAATTTTGTTGGTTCTTGGCTTTTTTATTGTGTTTTTATTGTGTCTTTATGTTATTTATGTAGATTTATACTAATTAGGAATAAAAGGTTTTCAAAGGAGCTCAAATGAGTGCAAATAGAGTCAAATCAGCATTTTAAAACACTACATCGGGGCTAAAAGTGTTGGGAATGGTGTTTTATAAGCATGAAATGTAATAAGATATTTATTTAATAAAAGAGTTTAAAAAAACATGAATTCATAAATAAGAGTAATAACTCAAGATTAAGATTATTCTATATAATGGCCATCAGTAGACTCAATAAGAATTTATATACTTAACAGAAATTATTAGAAATTTATATTGTATCTGCATCTCAGTCTTACATAATCTCATTATATAAAATACACTGACTTGATATCTCATCATATAAACAATCATATAAGATCGTTCAATTCAGAATGGAAATGACATGTATTAATAATGTGATCAATTAAATATTCAAAACTTTAATCGATAACCATCATGGACTTTATGTTTCGATTATTATCCTTAAATATTATCCTTTAGTATATAACACTTATATACCATATTTAAGGTCACATAAATAATTGTGTAATTTTTAATAATATTCATAAAGTATTCAATAGTATATGCACATAAATAATGAAATTTCTACTTTATTAATTAAATAATAAAATTCTTAATTACATCTCATGCTTTCAGCACATCATTCTCAACAATGAGATAATATGAAATGTTTTGGCATGCTTACTTTGCATCAAAGGAAAAAGAGAAGTAAGGAGTGATTCCATTTCTCATCTAATAATGCGTTTACTTACAAAATTAGTAAAGGAGATTTAGTGGATCCCTCATAATATAGAGAATGAGAAAAAGAAATATCAATTCTTGCACCCCTTAGTATTGATACACTGTCAAAGGGAATGAATACTAAATTTATTTATCTACCCTTAAAGAATTACTATACATTCAATGCTTATTTAATTGTGTAAAATGATATTTTAGTGATTACATTTATAACATTACTATTCTTAATTTAGTAAACATAAAAAAAGAATGAAGTTTTTTATCATTACATCATCTAATAGTTAAATAAACACGTAAAAAAAAATAAATAATTCTTAATCTTATTAGTTTACTCCATTTCCAATCCCATTACCTCCTATTACATTCATTTACAGTTTGATAAAGGCACCCTAAAAGTTTGACAAATAATTTGGATGTCTATTCTTTTATTTATCATTACATCATCTAATAGTTAAATAAACACGTAAAAAAAAATAAATGATTCTTAATCTTATTAGTTTACTCCATTTCCAATCCCATTACCTCCTATTACATTCATTTACAGTTCGATAAAGGCACCCTAAAAGTTTGACAAATAATTTGGATGTCTATTCTTTTAAAAAAATTATCCACCTACGTGGCAATAATCTACACGAGCTCAAACAGCTAATCAAGAGCCCTAAACCACGTGATTTGTACACCTTCACACTAAACGCACAGTTGGACTACATTACAAATTTACACCGGCTTTTCAATTTTTTAAAACGACCCGTTATTTTTTCCGATCAACAACGACAACAATCACTTTCCACAAAAAAAATAAAATAAAAACACAACCATGTCATGGTTGGCTCGCTCTCTCGCAGACTCCCTCCGACTCGACGGCGACGGTGACCTCAACGGCGGCGGCGACGACGACGACGAGGACAACGATGTTGTTTGGAACAATCAGTCATCTGGTGATCCGTCACCATCCTCACCCATCAAACCCAATCCCCAATTCCAACGTCAACATCAAGAACACGATCGAAGATTCGAACCAGAGAGAAACGACGACGACGACGAAGAAGAAGAAGCCCAAACCAGAGGTGTCAAAGAGGACCTCTCCGAGATCAAGCAAGTACTGACCCGACAATTTTGGGGGGTTGCCTCGTTTCTAGCGCCTCCACCTTCGGAACCGTCGACGCCGTCTCGTTTTCTTCGTCAATTGGACCACAATTTGAATCGATCTGAGGCGTTGGATCAACCCGATCCGGCTCCGGAAATGTCTCGGGAAGAGGAAGAAGAGAAAGTGGAAGAGTGTGTTGTGGGGATCACTGAGGAGGTCTTGGCTTTCGCGAGGAATATCGCGATGCATCCGGAGACGTGGTTGGACTTTCCTCTCGATGAGGAAGACGACTTGGATGGTATGTATGTATGTATTGGGTTTTCTTGCTCTTTAAGCACAATCTGTGATTTTGGTTTAATTATTTTTGGAAATGTTACAGTTGAACATAAAGTATTGTTCTTTATTTTGATTTGATTTGTTCTCACGACACAACTAAAACCACTATGGAGGAGGTAAGTGAATTTATATGCCCAATTTGATGCTTCAATTGCTGTTACAATAGGCACTTTTTTTTAGTTTTGAAATTTTATTGTATATCATTGGACTGTTGTTTTTACTGATCTATATCAATTCCATTAGCTATTCTTTCAATATATGAACGTCATGATATTTATCTACATTGCCATGTTTAGACCCTTTTTATGTCTCATGTTAGTGGAAGCAATTCATTTTGTAGTATGATAAGCTAGCAGTTGTAGAAGTGGAACCGTGGCTAAGAATTATGTCTTCAGTCCTCTAAGGAAAAAATCAACTTTTGTTTTTCTCCTGTTACATTCTGGTCGTTTTTTTATGTTGCAATACAGAAATGTAGTGACTGATTAGTTAAGATTTTCATATATATTTTGCTCTGGGATGGCTATCATGAAAAACAGAGTTGACATTAGGTGCCAAATTTTGAGACCATACAAATCTTAATGAGGAATTAGATTATATTGGAAACTATAGGTTTTGCTCTAGGATTTTGATGAAAATCAATCTTGCTGCCTTTTTTTTCTAGTTCTCTAGAGGAAAAAAAGGGATTTTTTACTAAGATTGATGCCTAATTCATAACCATTTCTTCCTTTAGATTTTGACATGTCTGATGCCCAACAAGAGCATGCTTTGGCGATTGAACGTCTTGCTCCTAGATTAATGGCCTTGAGAATTGAACTCTGCCCTTGCCATATGAGTGAGGGTTACTTTTGGAAAGTATATTTTGTTCTTCTGCATTCGAGACTCAATAAAAAGGATGCTGAAGTCTTGTCTACGACCCAGGTAAGCCACCTTTTTTCTTTGTATGACGCCCACAAAAGTACCCATCTCTGAGATTCCTGTGGTGTTTTATGTATTAAAATTTTATCATCGGTTATAAGGTTCCACAAACGACCTCTCAATAAAATTTCAGCCGCTTTAATATTACAATTTCATTTTGGGATTTAATAGTTACAGCAAGATATTGTGATACAACAAAGCTACTTGTTACCTGCCCATTTCTTGTGTTGCAGCTTCTCGTTTGTTTAGTTTTATTTGAGACCAAGCTTAGGAATGTCCACTGCCCGTTTTGGCTGGACGTAGTGGTTAGTTGAGTCATACTGCCTATTACTTCATGTAGACCTGCTTTTTGCCAATTCTTGATGTTCGTTTACGCACATCACATAGTGACAAAAGTATGATGATGTAATAAATGAATCGGGTAGATTTCATCCTGTATTGCTTTTATAATTTTTCTCCTCTATTGGTGTTAAAAACCTAAAAGTTAGAGCATTTTATAATCAAAAGATGTTTCTGAAGGCATTTAGAATCATTTGTCAGATCTTTTTCTTTTCACACTTTTGGATTGTGCAACTACTCGGGTTAATCTGAAAAATGTTTGGTTGATTCATTGTTTCCAACATGCTGCTTGTAGGTAATGGCAGCCAGAGCAAAGTGGATGCAAGAACTACAAAATCAAACTGCATCAGTATCTGAATGGCTTGGAAGCAGTACTTCATATTTACAAGATGATTCCGATTCCCTGCATGAAGATCATGTTCCCATCTCACCCTTTAGTGCTCGTAGTGGAGAAATGGCCCTAGGAACATTTCCTTTTCAGCGAACAACGTTCTCTTTTCCATCAGCTATTGAGACCGAGAAGCACACAGTTGAAAGTTCTGAGTTGCAATTCGTTGACAAGTCTGTTATTGAAGAAAAGCCAATGGTCAAATCCAAGGATAAAAGTTTAACGGTTGGTCCATCCTCTAACATACTTCTCAAGAATCATGAAGATGACGACTATGATTGGCCAGAGGAAGATTTTGAATTGAACGAGTATATTAGAACTTCTATTCCTGTGGGAAATGAAGAGGACATATCTTTCAGTGATCTCGAGGATGATGATTTTGACGCACCCGCAAAATTTAAATTTGCTCCTAAAGAATATGAAACGTCTAGGAATAGTCGGTGAAAACTGTGCATGTGCCGGCCGTATTCACTGGACAGAAGATTGAACTAAACTCCGTCCGATGAATCTTATGGAGGAAGGACCCCAAGACTGAATTTTTCTGAACTTCGCCGGAGCATTGTGCTTGTGCATGGTGATTGTGTGTTTCTAAGTATTTTGTACATTATGTATTGTTTTTGGTGTTTCTATAGAGCGATGATTGATTTGATTGGTTCTTATAGCCATGTAATTACAACAATAGTGATTTAAAGGGGAAAGCGAGGGAGAAGAGGAAAAAGGTTTTCACATATATGAATTGACTCGGATTCATTACATTTTCAAAACAGTTGTGCCTTTAAGTTGTATTATACGAGTGACGCAATAAATACAATTTTGCAATTCTTGTTCCATATTTCTTTTCCTTTCTTTTTCCTTCCTTTAAAAGATATACATATAAGAAAAGGATTAAAATTTCAGACCTTGACATTGAAAGAATACATGTGGATGCATTACTTTTATCGTCACTTACTTTCTACATTCATTGTGTGACACGTGGACTCTATTATCTCATTTTTTAATTTAAATAATATATCATATTAGTGCAGTTCACATATCAAACAGTGAATGCAGAAAGTGATAGAGAGTGATAGAAAGATTGACATTAGTATTTTTTTATTGCTAAGCTATGCATGCGACTGTAATTCTTATAAAATTGAAAAGAGTAGTTAGTACCATTTAATAATATGCTATTTATTTCTTGTTTTCTCTCGTTTTTTAGTTTTTGTGCATATGCATAATAATTCCTTTTATACGGATTTTTTTCCTTCTCTTTTACTTATGAAAGAAAAATAAATAGAAAATTAATTTTGTCGGAGCATCTTCATGAAGATAAAATAAAAAAAAGCTGATTTGAGAGAGACATTCATCAATCACTTTTCCAAAAACAGGTATGAAGTATGAGCATAAAATTAAACAATATCGTTTTCTATACTTACAGTAGAATCTACGCGTCGTTTTCTGATAGACGACGTCGAAACATATATTTGTTTATATATTGAAATTGACACGTATCTTAGAAATCTGAATCCTGAAGAGTCCTACTTTTTCTTTATATTTTTTAAAATTTTCAGCTATGTCGTTTCTTGAAAAGAGCAAATTTTAACGAACATATGTCCCCCTTAAAACAAAAGGACCATTTTTTTTTCGAACGAGACAAAAAAATATTAAATGGGCAAACAGATGCGAGGTAGACAGCGTCTTGCATATAAAAACTACGTGTCGTTTCTTGTGTCGAACGAGACCGTACCTTCAAAACTAAAAACCACACTTCCTTCAAAATAAATTAAAACCACATTACCTTTAAATGTAGAAATGAACAAGATGTCGTTTTTTTTGAAAAAAGTAAAAGCAGGATGTCGTTTAATTCTTCTTATTGAACGACGATCCAACTTTGCACGTTAGAACAACATGTCGTTTAAGGAGAAAATATGGTACCATTTTTTTATTTTTAAAACCAAGGTACGATAAATAGATATTGTCAAAGCCTTAAAAAAAAGACTATCTTTCTCTCTCTTAAGGCAGTTATAGTTTCGAGTTTGGGATCTCGTATTAAGGCCGGAATCTGGCGCCGCCACTAGTTGGTTGTGAGACTCTTGACCCTTGAAACGGTGGCTGAGATCATGCATGTGTGGTCAATGGTTGATGGACGCAGTCCATTAGTGATGGAGGCATAGATCTGGTGAGGAGCATGAAGTTGCTGGTGGATATGTGGCACAAGGGCATCATTTAGGTTGTTTTTGCATTCAACTTCATCGGTGACAGTTGCGATTCTGCTGCTACGGCTCTGCTTAAATTTGATTTCTTTGGCTTCCGTACAACGACGGTTGGTTTTTCGTTGGCATTTATTCCTATATGGTTGAGGCTCTCCGTAGGTCTCATAGGGTTTTCTTAATTTTAATAAAGGCGTTGTTTTCACAAAGTTTATGTATTGTAATAACGGAGGTAATTTTTCCACTTTTTGATTTTATTTATATGTCTCACCCGTCTAAGTTGGTTATTGACGGTGTGTGTGTGTGTGTGTTTGTTTACACCTAAATTTATTTTTAGGTCGTGTTGCTTGTGTCTCTCGGTATTAGGGGGTCATAGTTGACTGATTTTAACCATCGACTGTAGTGGTTCTTGTTAACGAGTTTTGGTCGCGCTTGATTTTATTTGTGTCGAGTGGATTTTTCCTTATTAGGTTTCGATACTTGTGTTCATTATTGTACTTTATCTGTTTCACTGATGGATTTAGTCAATGTCTGAAGTCGAATTCCTTTGTAGCAGTCCATAGTGATGGAGGCATAGATCTGGTGAGGAGCATGAAGTTGCTGGTGGATATGTGGCACAAGGGCATCATTTAGGTTGTTTTTGTATTCAACTTCATCGGTGACAGTTGCGATTCTGCTGCTACGGCTCTGCTTAAATTTGATTTCTTTGGCTTCCGTACAACAACGGTTGGTTTTTCGTTGGCATTTATTCCTCTATGGTTGAGGCTCTCCATAGGTCTCATAGGGTTTTCTTAATTTTAATAAAGGCGTTGTTTTCACCAAGTTTATGTATTGTAATAACGGAGGTAATTTTTCCACTTTTTGATTTTATTTATATGTCTCACCCGTCTAAGTTGGTTATTGACGGTGTGTGTGTGTGTGTGTTTGTTTACACCTAAATTTATTTTTAGGTCGTGTTGCTTGTGTCTCTCGGTATTAGGGGGTCATAGTTGACTGATTTTATCCATCGACTGTAGTGGTTCTTGTTAACGAGTTTTGGTCGCGCTTGATTTTATTTGTGTCGAGTGGATTTTTCCCTATTAGGTTTCGATACTTGTGTTCATTATTGTACTTTATCTGTTTCACTGATGGATTTAGTCAATGTCTGAAGTCGAATTCCTTTGTAAGTTGTCATTCCTGACTATTTGTGTAATTTGTTAATTATTAATGAAATTTTTCGTTCAAAAAAATCAAGGTACCGATTTCATTTATAACAAACTTAGATAAAAGAAAAAATATTGGCTTGGCAAACCAAAAAAGAAAAATTCTTGATATTTTTATTATTTATTTAAATAGAGAACAATTGACTTTGATTTTGTTTTCATAAACAACAGAAATATCTATCAGCGTGCAGGCCATGCATTGTCTACGACCCTGCGCTTCGGAAAATTTTGCCCAATTCCTAATTTCTTGGAATCTTCTTCTTTCCTCTCTCATTCTTCTCTCTTCTCCTGCAGTTTGGTCCCCGCAGCTTTTTCAGCCTTTCACTAATCTTCTGCAAAGCCAATTCAATTTCTGATCCTTTCCTCCGACAAATCTTATTCATTTCATTGGGATTTCGGATCCCAAAAATATCGAAATCAGATTCCCTCGATTTCACCAATCGTCGCTAACTCTTTTTCGTTTATAGAAGTTGGGAGCTTTTGGGGATCGAATTAATGGAGCTTCGGATGCTAAAAAAGGGATCCAATTTCTCCGGCAGGAGAAGAAAATGGCTTTTGATTCTCGCAGCTCTCGGAGTATCGAGTTATGGCCTCTACACGGTGTATAATTTGCCGTCGGTGGCGAGGAAACGGAAGAGGCTGATGAAGCTTTTCGGAGCCCTAATTTCCATGGCCGAATTGGTCTCCGATTCCGCCGAGACGATCGGAATCGTGTCTAGGGATTTGAAGGAGTTTCTGAAATCCGATTCCGACGAATTGCCCAAAAGTCTGAAGCAAATTTCGAAAATCGCGAGGTCGGAGGAGTTCTCCGAATCGTTGAGTAGGTTGACTGAGGCGTTGACGATTGGGGTTCTGCGAGGGTACGAGTCGGAGGCGAAGAATGGGAGTGAATCGGCGACGATTCAAAGCTTTCCTGATAGGGTTATGGATAGGATTTTCTCTACGGCCGGGACTGGTTTCGCTTCGGTTGTGGTGGGAAGCTTTGCGAGGAACTTGGTTATGGGGTTTTACTCTGATCGGCAATCCGTTAATCGACCTGGAACCTCCAATTTATCGGACATTCCTGAATGGTTGAGCTTGATTTGTAGCGATAAAAGCAGAGAATTAATGGCGGATTGCATAAGGGTCTTCGTCAGCACCGCCGTCGCAGTTTATCTAGACAAGACAATGGATATCAATTTCTATGACGACGTATTCACCGGATTGACCAATCCAAAACATCAAGACAAAGTGAGGGACATTCTGGTTTCTGTATGTAATGGCGCTGTGGAAACGCTAGTGAAAACATCTCACCGAGTACTGAGTTCAAGCTCGAACTCGAACTCGAATTCGGATATTAGTATTAGTAGCCGTCCTTCTTGTTCAATTGTTGATCAGAGTGAAAGTCCAAGCGGAAGTATTGATGAGGGTTTTGTAAAAGGGAGCTCTGTTTATAAGATTCAGGACAGTAGGTGGGTTGGTATTGTCTCATCGACATTGGCGGTGCCGAGTAATCGAAAATTCATGCTTGATGTAACTGGGAGAGTCACATTTGAGACAGTACGATCGCTTGTGGCATTCATGTTGTGTAGGATATTAGATTGTTTGAAGAGAAGTTTTAGTGTAGCCCATGAGGAGGTTGTGGACAGGGGATTGGTAGTGGTCAGATATTTTGGTGCAAAGTCTTCTGTTATTGTCACCATTTGTCTTGCTTTGTACTTACATATCGCGGCTGGTACTAGAGTTCTGCTTCCTGCTTAATTCAGGGCATTAAGGGTTGTATGCATTTGTTCTCGTGTCTTAATTGTTCCTGCTGTTAAAAAGTTCTTAGTTATTGATTTGTGGTAAAGCATTGATTTTGGGCTAAATGTATCTTGTGGCTCACATTAGCTTTGACAGAATGTGTAGTTGTGTATCTAGACAAGAACTTAAATGGTATTCTCCTTGTTTTCCCTTATATATTTTCTACTTTTGTTCCTTTTCAATGCAATGATTATGAAGAGAAATGCTTTTCAGTGATAATTGTGAAGTAGGAGAAAGCTTAACAAACCATCAGGTAACTGTTTGCTGATTATGAGTAAAGTGAGAATTGTACAGAAGGCATGGGATGTTGGTAAAATGGCAAGCTAAAGAATTGTGGTTCACTTCTTGGTGCTTCTATTCTTTGTGATTGATTGTGGAGTTCCCTGCTTCTTTGTAGTCATGACCACTCTCTTTGGAGGTTGTCCAATTGAGTGTGCCTCCTTCAATCATTTGATATAATTCTTTCAGAAATACATGAATAAGACGAATTGCGGGTGGTTTCCTGGAAAAAAAATCTGGTTTTTAACAGTCAACGAAGTTTGTTGTAGAAACAAACATAATTATTTGAAACTAGTGATGATAAATGATGGTCTGGTGACAATTCATCAAAGACATCTAGTGAATGTGAATTTTAGGTGTCCAATATTTCTGGGTTATTTTTGTCACTGGTTAAAGGAACCACTTTAAGTTGGCCAACCATTAAGGGCAATAATTCTGTTGTAGAAACAAGCATTTCAGAAGTTTGATACGAGACTACCAGTGACAGAGTCAGGATTTTGTTTAAAGTGGGGCATGAACTAAAAATGTTAAAAACGCTAACAAAATCAATTTCTAATACTATTAACTTTTTTTTTTTTTTACTTTAACGTATTATTAACTAGTTAGAAACATGTTATGCACATGCATATTGATCAGTTTATTGAGCTTTCTGACATGTGAATTAAAAATTTTAAAGAGTTCAATTTTTATTTGAATCTATTACTTTCCTAAGAGTTTAGTTTGGTAAAAAATTATATTTAAGTAAAATGGACTAAAATACGCGTTTCAATCAAAATAGGTTTCTTTTTTATGAATGGTGTATTTGTATAGACAAGCAGAATATATTTGAGTAATAAATAGGTATTTATGTAAATAACTAGGGGCGGAGCTACATTGGGTCAAGGAGAGTAACTGCCCCTGGCCCAATGGCTCCTTTTATTTTTGTATTCCAAACAAATTTCTTTTTACTATTTTTTATTACTATTTGTCCTCCCTGGAAACTTCAAAAAATGCAATATTGAGGTAGACTTTTTCAATAATTTCAGTTATACCCCAACTTTTGTCTTAAAAATATACTTTCAAACTTAAAACCCCAAATAAACTAAAAATCAACTATAGTACTGTGAAAGTTTATATGTTTGGACTTTAAATTTTAAAAAGTGAATTAAAGTATATTACAAATTTAGTTCATTTGGAAGAAGAATAAAAAAGATAATAAGTAATGAAGGTAAATAGAGATATAAAATTAAGAAAATATCATTGCGTTGAAATTTTATTTCAACACTTCGCTCTCCTTGAAAAAATTTTCACGCTCCACCTCTGACTGTAACCACCGTTTCAGCCAAAGAATAAATGAATTTCTCCTGACTTCTGAGACGATTGGAAGAATCAAAGATTTAGCAGTTCCCCACTGGACACTCTACGTTCTTGATGGAAGAAAGAAAGAGAGAAAGAAATCGCCATTTGCTTTGGATTGCTCGGCTATTAGCAACGACTAACTTTGGAAATAGATTAATATTGAATAAATCGATAGTTTCAGCATGTTACTCCAGGACTACTACACAAGTAGCCGGTAATTTCTTAATATTCTTAGAGCTAAACCAACAAATAAAGAAATTAATTAATTAAACACAGAAAATAATTCAGAGAAGAAAAGAGGCATAAAATAATAGGATTATCAATTTATAGATAATCAGTTTACTTCGTATTAATATTGCATGGCCTTTCCCCAGAAAGAAATTTGACCCATTTTCTTGTTGGTGAAACGATTAGCAAATAGAATGATACAATAACATAAAATATATATATATATAAGTGGTTCATGGCTTTTGTTCCTGTGTGTAGATATAATCCAGATGAGCGACCAACGTCCTCCTCATCAAGCACTCCTCTTTCCCAACTCCTTCACATTGATCATCCTCCACCTTCTTTGCCTCAATATTCTGTCAAAATTGGCACGTAATTAATTATCATTAACAAACGAATTAAATCCATAAACATGTATTACTAATTCTTTTTAATGATACATTGAATCCCATAATTTTTTTTTTTTAAAAAAAAATTGTGAGTTCTGATTTCTAAATAATCCATAAGATAGTGAACTTTTGATACGCATTACTAATAGAATATTTTTTTATGTTACGCAGCTTAAAAAAAAAAAAAAAAACGTACTTGTTGTTGGCCTGTGATCCGGGGGTTGAATGCAGGGTAGGGGCGGCCGGCGAAGACGAGAGCGGAGCTGAGGAGAATGGTTAACATGAAGAAGGTGATAAACTTGGCCATCTTTTGAGCTTATAATTAGCTTCCTGTGAAATATGAGTACAAGAATGAAGAGAACGGGGTAAAATGGAGAGAATTTATATAGAGGGGTTGAAACTGCGATAAAAGTGCAAACGGACACAGGCTTAGCTATATGAGCTGGAGAACACGTGATCTTTCCCTTTTTTTCTTATTAGGTCACCGTTGTAATTTTAATCCTTATCCTTTTCTTGTTTTTAAGGGATCCATCTCTTCTTTTTAGTCCCTATAATAAATCCCGTTTGACCTATTTTTGGTATTGCCCGATAATAAAAGGGAGATTTGTGGGTGATTTAGAGCACAATAAATGGCATCCTAATCCTAAAAATAGTGATGGGCACACCAAAGTTGTTGCTCTAGTTACGTCTTTATCTAAAATATTTATGGAGATTTTTAGTTTATTGACCACAAATTAAACAAAGCACTTTGATTTGCTATTAACTACTCATCCATAGGGCAAGGAAAAACTAATGGTGCGTTTAGAACTCGTTTAAAAATAATTTTTTTTTGTATGAAAATAGAAATGAAAACGTTTTCAATCTCAGATAGAAATCATTTTTAAAAATACATTTGTAGTTTTATCAAGAGATTATTTTCAGTATAAAAAACTCATTAATTTCTCTCTCTGTGTTCGAGAGAGGAGAAAATGAAAATAAAAAATGAAAAACGACTAAAAGTCATTTTTCATTTCTCTCTCATTTTACACTAAATTAAACAATTATTTTTATTTCTGTTTTTTATCTTTAATTATGTCAAATACTGTTTTAAAATTATTTTCATTTTTTTCTCAAAAAAACATGAAAATAAAAACAAAAATAATTCTAAACACGTCGTGAGTTTTAATTTTCCGTTATGGCTTTGCTTTGCTTTTCTTTTTCTTTTTTTGTCATAATTAATTTTTATCTTTTTGGTGTCGGCCGTGCGGCCGTGAATGAGTTTGATGATCTATACGTGCATGTGTGAACCCAAGAAATTTCAACGACTTAACCAACAGCTCTCACCCTACACTGAAAGACAATGCAGCCTTTTTGCTTTTATAAGTTTCAGCTTTCCATGCAAAATATAATAGCACGAGGTATTAGTGGAAAAAAAATGCTTTAAGTTTCACTTATTTAAATTTTTAATTTAAGTTAATATGTAATTTTATATGAGAATTTTTTATTATAATAAAAAAGTTATATGTTACTGTTTATGAGAGCTTTTTACTGTAACAAAACTTAAATTTTAAACTTAAATCGATAAAATGAACGGGACCTTAAAGTGTTATATGCATCATTTTTGTTAATTTAAGAGTGAGAGGGAGAAAGAGATAGATGCTGAGCTCAAGAAAGATCAATGACTGGGGAACAAATCACTTGGGGAATCATATTTTTGGGTAAAAGACAATTACTCTTCAATTTGAAAAGTTTAATTTATTTTTAAAATTATAGTTAAATAAATAATTTTGTTGTTTTCAGAAAAGTTTCTTTTGTAATGATTCGATTTAGGAAACTTTACTTTTCCTTAATTGGGATATAATGTATGTTAATTTTCCGTTTTGTTTTCCGAAAATTTTAAGTTACTTTATTTTATTTATAACTCCCTAATTCTTTCAGAACAATTTAGTAGCCTATAATTAATAATATGTTAAAGGCATGGAATTTTTATGAATAAAATGAGAGAGCGATGTTCAAAGTGAATTCAGAGGTTTAGGCAGACCGTATATTTTGATGTGGAGCGTCTTCCTCATATGTGCTTGCTACATCAGTTAACTTACTCGCTGTTTGTTTCATTAATGTAGTTCAATTCAATTCTTTTTAAACAGTGAGCATAGTTTGAATTATATTATCCGTTTGGATTGAATTAAACGGCCCAACTTAGAGTTTGGTTCCTCCCTCAAGTTAAATGGTTCAAACCATTTTTAAACAGTAAAAAGTGTCCACTATCTTTGCTTTTCACACCCACCAAATACAAATTTGAATTCTATTCTCTGCTCAAATTAAAACTTTAACTACACATCTAAATGTCAATTAAAGTATAATTTAAACCACACAGTTTGAATTTTTTGTTCAAATCAAAAATTTCAAACCAACAAACCAAACAAAGACTTAGTATTACCAATTCCACCAAAAAAAAAAACTAATATTTATTTGCAAAATAAATTGGAAATTTGAGTTAAGTTTTTAGATTTTTTTTTTTGGCTAATTAGGTCAAAATCGTATCAAAACCAAAAAACATACAAAACTAATTAAATGCAATATAGATTTCACGGATATTTCATACCATACCTAAAATCTCGTGATTATCCACAATCACGAGCTCCACAATCTAAGATTGCGTGTATCAATCTCATTATAAATAGCTTTTTCATGCATGAATTGCAGTAGAAAACGTTATAGATAAAGCGCGCGTGTTCTGTTTTTTTATATATTAAGTATATAAACAGACTAAAAAAGAGCAATGGTCAAAGCTGCAAAATAGCACGTCTATTTCGCATCAATCTTTTGCTACAAGTGCGTGTGCGTCCCCAAAAATTTGACCACATTTGTTATTCTCAGAATCCATAATATTGACATTACTTTTCTGTCGTTTCACAGGAGCTCAGCACGAGAGAGAGAGAGAGATAGAGATGTATGTATACACACAACTCATGGGTGCTCATTTGACTGAAACGAAGTACAAAACCAATATCTTTGTCAATCTTTCATGAACTTGCTTTATAATTATTGGAGAAAAGTTAGAGCCAAATCTTGTGTCTAAAAGCAATACAAATTGGTACGAAGAAAAGAAATACCAATCAAAATGGCTAGCAAGAAAAGCCCTTCAATGAACGTACAAAAGACTTTTATTGTCAAGTCAACAATCAACAGCACATCCCTGTAGCCCAGTTTGCGCAATAACTAGGGATACACACACGCATAAGTCTATTAATTTCACCAATTTAAATTTAAAATTTAAATTTTATTACTGTAATAAATTTTTAAAAACAATCACATTTTATTTTTTTACTATAATAAAAAATTCTCACATAAAGTCACGTATCAACTTAACATAAAAACTCGAATTAACAAATTAAACCTGCTCATATATATCGACGGATCTTTCTAATCGAACTCTCCAAAACAGTGTCACGAGGCAACTTTAATTTCAGGGAACACAATGCCATGCAGTTCAGAAAGGACCATGTGTGAGGCCGTACGTTTTGCTTCTTTTTTATTTTCCCCCCAATTTTCCTCGTTTCAAGGCGTTGATCTTTAGTTGTCTTGACCAGTTTTTATATTCGTGAACTTTTGGGTTTTCCTTCTGTTTTTATTCTCTGTTCAATGTTCTTAACTGATCGATGCATCCAATCCAATTGCACAGTTCTCTGAGCTAGATTTCTTATTATTATCATCATTATAACTATTATTATTAGTAGTATTCTTTTGTCCTTCCTTTTTGAAGGTTGATCTCTCACTAAGAAAACCAGAAGAACAACACAAGTAACGCCAACGGAGCAATCTTTGACTAAGACAAGGAAACAATTTCTGAATAACAAGCGTGCCGTCAAGATTTATGTAGCTACATAGCACATAGATTTTGGTTCAACCAAAAAAAAAAAAAAACAAAGAAAAAAAAAGACATAGAAGAAGGTGGAAGAAGATTTAAATCTTGGAAATATCCTGGATGCTAGTTGATGAAAACAAAGATCAAATTCTCCTCCGTCTCACCTGTAGTCCCGGTAGATTATTAAGGCCCCATTTATTTCACCGATTTAAGTTTATAATTCAAGTTTTACTACGGTAAAAAACTCTAAAAAACAGTCACATTTAATTTTTTTATTACAGTAAAAAAATTTCACATAAAATCACATCAACTCGAATAAGTGAATTAAACGAACCCTAAGTGATTGCTAAACTAGGGGCATGAAAACACCACTTATCCTTTTCTCAGAGGAAAAGAAAAAAAATATAATCTTGAAAATGTTGTCGCCTAATGGCCTAATGCGAAGAGCGCTATAGTGGACCGTTTTACAAAAGGGAGAATTCGATAAATTCACGATCCTCTTTTTTTCTTTCAAAACTAAAGGAGGGACATAATTCTTACAAGCGAGCACAAACCTCAAAATCGAGATTGAGGACTTCTTCTTGCCATTGTGGTAACTCAACCAATTAGAAATAAAAATGTTCTCTCATTCAGGCCAGCAGATAAGTAATCAGTGTGCCTCCAAAATCCAACTCAGAATTCACTCCTTTTTAAAAAAAAAAAAAAAAAAGAATTCACTCTTTAGCCAAAAGGAGAAAAAAACAAAATGAAGCTAAATCTCAGTTTAGTAAATTTTCATTAAGTACACTACACTATGTCCGTGTCTAATTACTAATACAAGTGGTGTTTGTACTATATGATGGAAAAATTAGTATCAATTACTGTTGATTATGGGTAAGTGATAATGGAGACTACGTAGTTTATCAATTATCGCTTAACTTATAATACTTATTTAGGGTCTTGGTTTGTTTAGCATGACTCAAATAACCTGCCCAGTGTCGAGATTAGCACACACACAAAAAAAAAAAAAACAAAAAAACAAAACAAAGAGAGAAAAAAGAAAACTTGTCTATTTTTAAAGTCTCACATAATATCCAACTAATCACGTCAGGTTTAAACTTAAAAAAAATATATGTTTTTAACTAACTTTTTCGTACTTTAATATTTAGGTCCATTTAAATGGTAGGGTATAATATCCAACTAATCACATCAGGTTTAAACTTAAAAAAAAAATATGTTTTTAACTAACTTTTTCGTACTTTAATATTTAGGTCCATTTAAATGGTAGGGTATAATGTGATTGTTTAAAAACCATTTAAAACATTAAAAAATTGGATACGTGATTTGAATCTGTTCGTAGAGTTGGTGCATTTGGTTAGTGGATTCGAATTATGGTTTGTGGTTCGCTACAGTATTTTCTCTCATAAAAAACACACGTAAATGTAAATCGAGAATAATTCTGAATTCATAAACCAAACGTGAGAACGGTGGGTAAACATATGATACTTGGACCCACTTTTGTCTCTGTG